CCGCGTAGACTCTCCAGAGATGCTCGAAGAGGACGAGCCTTCCCAGGAGCTGGCTGTTGCCCTGCACGAGTCTGCTGCTGGAGATCCGGCTGCCAGCCAGGAAGACGAAAGCGGTGCCCTGGTTGCGTCTGACTCCAAGCGAGAGCGGCCACAGCAAGCAAACAGGAGCAGATCAGGCCCACGCGGCGGCGTAGAGTCTCCAGAGATGCTAGAAGGGGTTGAGCCTGCCGAAANNNNGCCGAGTGTGCTAAACGAGTCTGCCGCTACAAATCCGGCTGCCAGCCAGGAAGAGGAAAGCGGGGTCCTGGTTGCGTCTGACTCAGGCGTCGGCGGAGAGTCGCACACGACTGCAACAGCTTCGGAGTCGCTCGTGGGCGCCGCCGGCATAGATTCCCAAGGCTCGAAGCGAAAGAGTCCAGGTTCGCCGGCTGCCAGCCCGTCATCGGAGCCTGAGACACCTCCTTTAACACGTAGGAAGTTTAACCAGCAAGCAGATGCTGCAACAGAGGCTATCCTGTCCATGGCGCAAGAAATGAAGGACAAAGCCGCGGAATGGCTGGACAAACAGCAGGAGTCTTTCTTTGAAAAGATCAAGGCCGCTTGTGAGAGGCATCCGCAGTTCTTTCCTTGGAAGGCAGCGGTGGAAGATGAAATTGGGCAGGATGAGCTTCCGCCGGATGAGCGGTGGATCGTGTGGGAGCAAGAACCTTATGAGGATCTGGAAAGCTTCCTTGAACATTTGCAGGGCTTGAACGGAGGACCCAAAGACGCAGCGGCAAACACGGTGCCGAGTGAGTCTGAAGACTCTGAAGACAGCGCCGGCGCGAAAATACTGCGCTGCCTGGCCCCGTCACCTCAATCCTGTGATGCATCAGACAGCTCCGATGCTGATATTGATCCGGCTGATACGTCTGATACATATGAGCTGCAGGAGCCAGAGGGTTTCGAAGGCTCCCTGATGTGGCGCTACTTGAAGCAGGCATGGGCCCAGCTTACAAAAGACCAGAAGCGGCATGTCCACCACAGCATCGCCAAGACCAGCCACATGTGCAGCCGCCACCCCACCGTTGCCACCTTTTGCAGCGGCTCTGGCATGGCAGAACTGGCCCATCGGTGCCTCACTGCAAGCCTCAAAGCGTCCGAGACTTTGCTTTTTTCTTGTGAAAAAGAGAACTGGAAGGCAAAACACCTGCAGCAATCCGTGCACCCTCGGCTGTCAGCCAGCAGGGAGCACCTGCGGCTGCCAGCCAGCAGTGCACGAGAGAGTGAGCCCTGTCTGTTTTCGGACATGTGCGAGGTGGTATCTGGAGAGGGGGCATGTGTCGTCCACAACAAACGTTGCAAGCTCGAGACTGAGGCATGCCCCACAGTGCTGATGGTGGGGTACAGTTGCAAGACCCTGTCCAAGCTGACTCCTGCCAACAAGGACAAGGAGTTCGCCTTGAGAACCGGTACGGGGTCTTCCGGCGAGACTGCCCAGGCACTGCTTGTCTACTTGCGTGACTGGCGCCCATCCGTGGCTATCCTCGAAAACGTGGATGAGATGGCCAAGGATGCAGATGAAAGTGACAATGTCAGGTACTTTCTCTCGGAGCTGGACAATCTGGGGTATGTTTTTGCTACAAAGATGCTGGACTCCAGTGACTTCGGCATGGCCGCCAACCGCCGACGAGCATGGCAGGTTGTTCTGAACAGGGGCAGTTTCAACTGTGGTGAAAAGGAGCTAAACGACGTTGCGCAGTCTGTCATGAAATTGGCACGCGAGTTGGCGGTCGGGTCTTGGCCCTTGGAAGACTTCCTCTTGGACTTAGACGACCCGCTGGTGCAGCAAGAGCTGCAACGCAGGGAAGAAAAAGCACCTGCAAGCAGGAATGTGCTGCTTGAGGGTTGGAGAGCAAAGCATCGAGAGTTTTTCCAGAACAAGGGCATTGCCTGGACTGCTCTGAAAGTTCCGGAGGAGGTCAAACTCAGCCCTTGGTTCAAGTTTTTGACAGAGAGGGAGCGTGAGATTCTTGCGTGGGGAATCTTGTTTGCCGAGCAGAAGCAAGCTGCTGCCAAGCATTCGGCTGCCAGCCAGGAGAGCAAGTACCTCGCCGTAGATGTCTCACAGCGCTTGGACAGGTGCCGCATTTCGTGCGACCGTACCTTGTTCACAGTCCTCCCAACCCAAAAGGTGTACCTGCTGGGCCGGGACGGGTGCGGCGAGGCGAAAGTGGGCGCAGGGCGACTGCTCTTGGGCGCAGAAAGCTTGGCGCTGCAAGGGTATTTGCATGGCGCTTGCCAGTGCAGCGACACCCAGAAACAAGACCTTGCTGGGAATGCATTCACAAGCACTGTCTTGCTTGCTCTCCTGCTCGCCTTGTATGCCAACCTCCCGGACTACAGCTGGTCGGACGATGATGGGAAGCCTAGCCTTCCAGCGGATCGGAAAAGACGACGCAAGGTAGCAGTACTTCCGGAAGACATCGCGTCAGTCTGCACGAAACTCAACTTTGAGTCTGGGACTTCTGACAGTGAAGGCTGAGGATCACCCCTTGCTTGGAAGGCATTCGGCTGACAGCCAAGTCAACGCGGCTGACAGCAGCCGCCTTCCTGTGTTAGTTCGGCTGACAGCCATCAGTTGCCGTGGCCCGCAGTGAAGGCTGAGGATCACCCCCTGCTTGGAAGGCATTCGGCTGACAGCCAAGTCAAGTGTTGCGGTGACCCAGCGGCTGACAGCAGCCGCTTTCCTGCGTTAGTTCGGCTGACAGCCATCAGTTGCCGTGGCCCGCCGACTGAGTGCGGCCGCCTACCGCGGTTTGTTGCGGTGGCGGTGCGTCTGAGAGCGGTCACGTAGAGACGCAGAGAGAGTCTACGGCGGCTTACGTCTTACGTTTTTGGACATGCAGCTGCAGAGAAAAAGTTGTTTTCTGAAATTTTCGAATCTGGCCGTTCGCACTGTAGGCTTTTGATAACAAATCGTCCTTCGGAAGCCAGGGTCAGAAAATTTCGTAATCGGGCATTTCGGAATAAAAAAATTAGGCTCGGTCGAGACTGTCACAGAGACTTTCTCATTCGCGGGTTTGTATTGGATGGTTTGGTAAACTTAGCGACTTAGCCTTAGCCGCCTTAGCCGCGCCATAGCCTTAGCCGCCTTAGCCTTGCCTTAGCCTTGGCCTAGGGCCTAAGGCCTAGGCCCTAAACCTTAAACCCTAAACCCTAAACCCTAAACGGCCCGAAACTAGGGTTTAGGGGGGTTTAGGGCTTAGGGGGTTTAGGCCCTTAGGCTTAGGGAGGGTTTAGGGCCTTAGGGTCTAAGGCCTAGGCCTACTAAGCTTTAGCCGCTCAGCCTAAACTTTGGCCTAACTGCCTAACGAAAGCCTAAACCGCCCTAAACCTTTTGTCCTTGTCAATGCTGTGGACATAGACGACTCTAACTCACAGCGACAAGGAAACGCGCAAATCCTTCCTAGCAGACTGTGTCAGGCACGTTTTCGCGAACAAGCACCTGGAAAGGCCCTGGAAACCCCCAAAAGCCTTCCTAGCACACTTTGTTAAGCACGTTTTCGCGAATAAGCGCCTGGAAATAAGGCCTTGGAAACCCCCAAACCCTTCCTAGCACACTGTGTTAGGCACGTTTTCGCGAATAAGCGTCTGGAAGTAAGGCCCTGGAAACCCCCAAATCCTTCCTAGCACACACCTAGTAAGCACGTTTTCGCGAGTAAGCATCTGGACAGGCACTGGAAACCCCGAAATCCTTCCTAGCACACTGTGTTCACAGGGGCGCCGGGTACCTGCCACAAACCCCCGGGTACGCGGATTGGAGCGCCGGATACCCGGCACAGGGGCGATGGGTATCCGGCACAGGCGCCGGGTACCCGGCACGGGGGTGCCGGGTGCCCGGCACCGGGGCGCCGGGTACCAGGCACAAAGCGCCGTACCCGGCACCGGGGCGCCGGGTACCCGGGACAGGGGCGCCGGGTACCCGGCACAGGCGCCCGGTACCCGGCACAAAGTGTCGGGCGTCCGGCACCGGGGCGGCGGGTACCCGGCATTGGGGCGCCGGGTACCCGGCACAAAGCGCCGGGCACCCGGCACCGGGGCGCCGGGTACGCGGCGCCGGGGCGCCGGGTACCCATAGTTCATAAAACCTTATAGTAACATAATAGTATAGTATAGCCTAGTTACAGTGTCATAATGATTTCATAATGGTCATGAAGAACCGAAACACAGCTGTTGAATCAATGCCGATGCCATATAATCGAATCTAATCTAACCGTGTCGTTTCATCAGATAACAGATAACAGATAACCTTTTAAACACTTTAGACTCTAGACTCTAGACTCTTTAGACTCTGCTTTAGACTCTAGACTTTAGACTCTTTAGACTCTAGACTTGACTAGACTAGACCTTTTTAGTTACTGTAGTTATTTTAGTAACTTTAAGACTTTAAGAAACTTTAAGTAAACTTTAAGTCTTACTTTTAACTTAAAACGCGAATTCAATCAGTTTGATTTAATCAAGGTTCAGTCATTCTGGAAAACCAATCTGGAATTTGGCTGCATTGTTCCGCCCAGACCTGTTGACATGCCTGCAAATGCTGTCGGGTTGTACTGCATGATGCTTGAATTTGTAGCGTGGCTCGAAGGCGGCAACCAGATTGCCAACACAATCCAGCTACACGTAAAACGGCACGACTCTACAACCGTAGCGTGTATGATGAACGTTTGGCCTTTGCGCGTGTGCAGGGATTGCGAAGTAGACTTCAATCACCGTATATCATTATTATCATTCTTGCTGACGATTATGATTGTATGACATCATAGTCTCTAGACTCAATGTCAAGGCTCTAAGATCGTTAACAAGCTACGTAGTCAGTTTTTGAGTGGCGCGTTGGGCCTTCCTTGAACCTCGCAGACGAGGGGCGCTGCTCGGCTGCTTGCCTGCTCGCCTTTGGGTGGTGTTCTGCTGTCAGCAAGTCTAGTCTAGTGGTTTGGCTTTTCGGCTGGCAGCCAGATCCAATGGACAATGACGATAATGGCAGCGTGTCTGCCAGTGGCCCAAGCGTGTCTGTGGATGGCATCGTGTTTCTGAAGAAGAGAACCTGCAACTGCTGCGGCATTAGCAACACCGCCTACAACGAGATCACAGGCATTTCGCAGATGTCAGCAGACAAGCAAAAATTCACGCTGTGGGGCCGAGGCACCTCAGTTGACCCTGTAGGGAAGCACTGTCGCATATGCGTGCTGACACACCAGCATGGCGGCTTTAGTGACGATGCGATCGCCCCGACCCTGGACGCCTTCTGTGAGAAAATGAAAAAAAATCCAGAGTTGCAACAGGAATTCGGCGGTGCGAGAACTGAAATGTTGCGGATTCTGAACGAAGGAAAGATGCGCTTTCGCGGCAGCACTGCCACGCAGAGCAAAATGAGGTTGGAGTCGGCGAGGGCGGCCTCGGTAGAAGAATACCGGACTTCGGAACAAATGGTTGCGACGCCTTACCGTGCGATTGAAAAATCTCGGTTTGAGCAACTTTATCCCAACAAGATCGAGAGGGAAGGCTTGAAAGTGGTGACGAAAAAGATAGAGGGTCAAAACCGAGAAGTCGTCCTGGTGCGGCAGCTCCCTGACGGCGAGTGGGACCTCAGCCTCAGAGAACGCACTGGCCTGCGGGAGACAGAAGTTCTCGACACGAACGAGCTGCAGATCACCCCAGGTCAGTTGAAAAACAAGTTCGAGGGCAAGCGCAAGAAGCTCCACGCCCAAGTGGTGGAAAAAGGAAATGCTGCTTCAGTCTTGGATTCGGCTGTCAGCCAGAAGCCCAAGGAGCAGGAGGAGGATGATGAGATGGCGCAGCTGAGCTCTTCTGACGAGGAGTTTGGATTCGGCTCATTGCTTGAGCAGGAGATGCCAGAACCGGCCCCGAAGAGGGCTGCTGCAAAGGTGCTGCCTGCTGCCAAGGTGGCTCCTGCCGCGAAACACAGTTCTGCTGCCAGCAAGCCTCAGGCCAGCTTGAAGTCAAGCAACACAAAGCAGACGCAGCCGCAGCGTGAGTTTGTTGAGGAGGGAGCGGATGATGAAAAAAATAAGAGGGGGCGACCTAGCAAGTTTCAGGGTAAGAACGGTGCAGACGTTCTGGAGCAGCACGGGCTGGCGCAAATCAAGGAAAGTCTGGAAAAGGCGTAGCTTGGCAGTCAGACAATGGACATCGCAAGTACTAGTTACTAAGTACTAGTTACTAGTTACTAGTTACGAGTGTTTGGAACCGAGGCAGAAGATTTTGAACAGCGACGAGCTCAACGTGCCACTGGACAGCTTGGCAGCGAAGGACGCCTACAAGGCAGCTTTCACGAACTTCAGCACCCACGCCTCCGAGGCCAACCGGAGAGCAGTGGCTTTGGACGCCAAAGTCAAGAAATGGCAGGGAGTGCCAGACGAGGTGCAGTCACTGAACACGTGGCACAAGGAGCGCGCAGCAGCCATGTCGGCAGCCGCAGTTGCCTTCTCGAGCAAGAAGGCCTTGCAGGTGGACCGCATGCACCAAGCCGTGGCAGCGTTTATCCAGCTCCGATTGGAGGCCTCCCTAAACCCTAAACCCT